TGAATCTCACCCTTTATCACATGACTTGTGAAAGCCAACGCTCTGGAGAGCAAGAGCTTAAGTCCATGCGCCGCGTCTAGGACAGACTAGCATGAGTGATAGACCCTGTACTTGTAAGGACTTACTGCATTACATGAAGAAGGGTCGCTTCTCCACTTGATCACGAGCATCAACAGATGGAGTTGCAATAAATCCACACATAATGTCAGGAGAGGTTCAGGAAGAATTCTGACAAGTTGTGGTCCCCCAGACTCATCAGAAGAAGCTGGAAGAAAAGGATCAACACAAGTGACATCATAAGTTCCCATAGGGGTATGCAGGACGTAATACAACAACCAGTGAATCCAGAAAGTGGCCTGACCCACCACCATTTCCGGCCGGATTCAACAAGCAAATAGCATGAGTCAGGATAAGGAAAAATATATGAGGTCAGCCCTCCCAACCTCCCCCATATGGTACTCTGGATTTCCCTGTAAATCCGGGTGTCGGGCTTACATACGGAGAGAGTGACAAGCATGGCTGATCATGTGACTAAAATGGCCCAAAGGGCAAAGGGAGGCTACTGCAGGTGAGTGATTTTACGTAATTTTACTACAAAGGGATTCAAGTGTTCTACTATCATTCAAGGGGAGAAGGGAGACAAGCAAATAGCATGAGTCAGGATAAGGAAAAATAATACATATAGACATATACAGTAAATATTATAAATGGAGTCAGAAAATTACATACTACTTATGTTATTGTACATATGATGAGATGTAAATCATAATCTGTCTGTCTGTCTGACTATTGTGATTGGATTATGAGAGGGGTCCACGGGAGAGGGAGGGAGATATTAACTTTGAAAACTTTGTGTCTACATTCCATTGTTTACGTGTTAATTTAATGGTATACACTTTTCATTATACCTTCAATTGTATTTTGCCTGTAGATTGTTGGAAAGATATTTGTTTGTAGCTCCTGGTTTGTCACTGTGGGATGTTTGTTGTTCAGATGTTTCCACATCCATTACATTACTCCCCTCCTTTCTGACTTAGTTGCACTGTGCACAAAGTGCATTTTGTCTTAGTGCCAGATAATGGGCGTATTCACAATATTTCCAGGCGCCACTCTTAATATCGGCCATAACTGATTTTATTGAAGGAGAATAACTTCGCAATTAGTGTTATAACGGAAATTTGGACCCGTCCCAGACCTGAAAAGTAAAATAGTAACAAATTCAATTGTTTGTGAGCTCCAGATGACACGTGCATCAAAGTCAAATACAATACTCAACTCTTGTTTGCTGTCAGGAGCTTGAATTATGATAGGATAATTTTTTCCATTTTGTAGACCACTATCGCAGGGTAAATGGAAAGTTATCTAAACATCATACATCAATCAAATTCAGCTATGTTATATGTACAGCTGATCTGATAAGATAAATATTGAAATGTTGGAAAGTAATCTATATAGTGACGCTATTGAGCCTTTGTCACCTGGTTATGTATGCTGCATTAATGCAGTGATAACACTGTGTCACAGTAATATAATTCAGACTCCTCATAACACTCAAACATTTAGTGAACACAGGCAACATCATTGTAACCATTGCTTCATTGTCAGGCAGTGGGCAACCACTTGGTGATTGGATATAGGGAGCTATACAAATGGACTTATTATTATCCCCTCACGCTCGTTAAGCGTGAAGCGGGGGATATAGTATTAGGCTCCTCATCGTCGCATTACAAACAAATTGGAATATCTTAAGGGCCGTTGACTAGATTCTTTTCATATTTGGTACCTAGATCCATCACAGTGTGAGAAAGGTCCCAGTCATGTTTGGTGACCATGACCTTCATTTCAAGGTCACAAGGGGACTTTAACATTTTTCCCTTGACAGCACAATATCTCAAGAACCGTTCACTTGATTCTCTTAATATGCGACACCAAGCTTGTGTGTTTGAACAACTACAGAGCAAGATATCAAGATAGGTTTACTGGTCATGTTTTTTGTTGGCATTTAACTTCATCTTAAACTACACCTTTCACTGTCATTACTTTTTGAGTTTGATTTGATAATATGCGGTGGGGATTATGTCACCTAAGTGACAATACTTATTATTATTAAATCGTCAAGAATTAATTCATTATTCTGAGATTGTTCTTGTCCAACTGTATAGTAACCAGATTTATTACACACATTCTGAATATGTTTATGAGATAATTTTGGTTATTTGAAACAGGTGTTGTGTAACCAGTTGAAAGTTATCCAACGTGTGATGCGTAACCAAACTAGGTTATTCAACGATAGTGACATCATAATTCTGTACTGTCATTTGCCAATAAAGCCGATTTTTCCAAAGATGTCAACCGAACAAAACATTAGGTTTGTGGATAATTAAAATTCAATTTTGTGTCCTGGAGATTAGTATTATTTTCAATTGAATATGTTTAATTGTTTATTTTCATCTATGAAGTAGTTATCTCCCTTTCCTTTTTTTTTACATCTGCTTGATTTGTCAACATAGATCACACTGTTTTCCGTCCTGTGTGTAGTAAATAGATCACGCTTTCAGCTCATGAATAAATCAAATTGTTTTTAAAATATACTGTAAACCATTAAAAACGCAATTTTACATTCATACTTTCTTTACTCACACCAATTTCAACATATATAAACTTAACTGGCAGATATGTTTTAAGTGAACATCTGTGAATAATTTCATCTGAAAATGTCCAGTCAACAACAACATCGGTGACTTAACAACGACATCAAACAAAGGAGGGATCACTTGGAGTCAATATCGTGTGTGTCCACCGCGTGCGATGCAAGACATGCTCGCAGTCTTTGGGGCATTGAAAGACACACATTCTCAGAACAGCTGTTGGATGGTCTGCAACCTCTGATGGTCTGTGGTCTGATCATGACACCACCCTCCAAAACGATCATGTTCAAGGACACAGTTTGGCGCAAGTCTTTCTCCTTTATGTCGATAAATCTGTGGACGCCCATCTGCAAAGGATAAGTTAAACCTGGATTCATCTGACAAAATGACATCTGGCCATGTCCTGTTGCCAAGATTGGCCCCTTTGCTGGCCATCGTTGTCTGGCAAGTCTGTGACGATGCAATAAGGTTGGACCACGGCACGGGTGACGACACGGATGTTGAAGGCAGCATGGCGTCCTTGCACCTTTTGGGCTGAAATGACGCGTTGACTTGTCCCAATTGTCCTCCTTGCCTCATCATCAGCTGTTTGGAACCGATTTCACAAGTGTGAAACTCGGATATTATGCGGTTTCATCAAGCTGTTATCACAGGTGGTGCACCAGGTCGCTGAGACGATCAGCAACACTTCAGGTAGCCGAAAAACGTTGTCTGAGTTGACTTACAGTGGATGGATGCACATTAAAGTGCCTGGCAATCATCACATCGGAAGCACCTTGGCTGACCATACCGATAACCTGATTCCTTTTGTCTTGTGTCAAGTGTGGCATTTTCTCAAAGTGATTGAGTTCCACAATTCCCTTGTGCTTTACAGGGCCTGGGTGCAGGTAATGCATGCATGTACAACGTGTGTCATGAATGTGGTTATGTTTTTACGAGAAATGTCAAATGTTCAGTATTAAGTATCAAAGTTCATGTGAGAGGAATGCTCCGGGACTCGAACTTCGAAATGGGCCAGAATAACAGCCTTTTATCCCTACATCCTCTGTATCGCAGGCAAAAATCTTCAATAGAACTTTTGTGAGTTTCAGGACAACAAATACCAATTGCTTTTAATGGCTTACAGTGTATATTGTTGGGATATTTACCATATTCAACACCCACTCGCTTTAAGTGATCTATTTATTACACACAGGATAGGAGTGTGATACAATCAAGCAGACAATGCCGGATATAAACAAAATGAAAGGGAGACAACTCTGTCATGACTAATTTATAGGCGAAAATAACCCATTACAAAAATTTTAAGCTCATGAATAAATCAAAATGTTAAAAATATCTCGTTGGAATGTTTTCCATATTCAACACCCTCTTGTTTTGTAATCTTTCTATAGATAACATAGGCGGATCCAGAAATTTTCAAAGGGGTGGCGTTCAGGGGTTCAAACCCCGAACCCCACTTTGGCTCTGCCATTGCAAAACATTAACTTCAATGTGGTCTTTAGTCATTTTCAAAAAGGTTGGGGTTCGAACCCTGAACCCCCTCTGGATCCGCCATTTGATAACATGTAGTTGGTATATAGCGTGCGTAATTTGGCGTAATCTGTGCCATTGGTGCTTGTTGTTTGAAAATCATATTTCCATCCATCGTTTTGTTTTCAAACATGAGTTAAGGCCACACATATTTTCATTTTTTTATTGATTTTTTTTCTAGATTATGAAGACTTACAGAAATACAGCTTTAATCTCTTTTCAGAGCCATATATGGTGCCACACAGTTTACAAAGCTTCAATAAACATGCAGTATTTCTCTTTTAAACTTGTGGCATTATTGCAGGTATCTATGGGCTGCCCAATGTGTTTTTAATTGATTTGGGATCATTTGAAAAGACCAGCATTTTAGAATAGGAACATAATTACCAGAAATGGATCACTTCTTTCACATTTTCAAAGAACATATAAATGTTTAGTGTGCTAATTGTGTTAAGTAAAATAAGTTTGAAACAACTCTATAAGGCAGTATATTTGCAAAGGACCTAGGAATAAATTACATCAGAGGTGAGAGAAGGTTAAACCAAGATTTTGAAATACCGGTAGGAGAGTCCCTGTAATACCCAAGTCACTTCCCTCTCTCTGTCCTGTGGACACACCAACTGCAGCAATGAGAATAGTGTTCAATCTTCCGTAGTTTGTGACACCAAGCGAGATACTTGATACCTTGACAACACCCTGTTCATTTCTTGTTTCATCATACATATTGACATCGATCGCTCATAATGTAAAACAACCAGTTTGTCTGATCTTACCTTCATGTTATGCTGCTTTAAACGATACTGTTTCTCTGCTATTCAGATGGATGGTAAGGACAGGAAGCCACCAGATCCTGCAGCTGGGATGGCTGAAGGGATGAAGGATGTTACTGATGAAGCAGACCTGCCTTCAGATGGGATGGTATCAGGTATGGACATCATCAGTGACGCCACTTCCACCAATACTCAACAGCAACCACAGACACAGACAGGTCCTGATGGGTCATATCCTCAAGGCTTTACAGGTCAGCCAGGACAGTTTCAGGACAGTGGCCAGCACACCAGTACACAAGGGCATGGACACACCGGTCAACAGGTGCCCCCATATCCTTACCCAGGTCAGCACTGGCAGGGGCCTGGTCAAGGACAGCCAGGCTATCCGTATCCCTACCCTCAACAAGGAGGGGAGAATCCATACACTCATATACCACCTTATGATGCAAGGTATGGCCATTACGATTACAGGTATGGCGGGTATATTCATCCACAAACTGGTGCCCTCTTTAGATGGCCTGATCCTTATGGTCAGCAGCACTACCCACAGCCTGACGGAAGCCAGCAGCAGAATCTCCCCAGCAAGGTGTGGAGACAAGTGGACAGACAGGCCCACAACCTGCATCCTCCAGAAGTGGTCAGACAGCACAGAATGACCCGAACTTTACAACTTCACAACCAGATTCCACAGCTGAGAGAGAACTTCCACCTAGACCACACCCAGCTGGCTCATACCCTGCACACCCGTTCTATCCAGGACAACAGGTTCATCCCCCTCCCCCGAGTTACTCTCTGTATCCATCTGAATTGCCCCCGCCATATGATGGTCAGCAGGGACGCAGGCTGAAACTGGAGCAGGGTAGGTGACTTATTTGTCTGTAGAACCAAACAGTTGATGGTTGTCTGTATTGTGTTCATATTGGAGCACTGTACACGTTTCAGGTTAGCAGTCATGGACTGATTGATATTGAAAATATTTACCTCTTTCAGAAAGCTATGTAAGTCCTTTATTTTGAGCCAAGTGTACCAATTTTTACAAATACATATATGTTACAACATGTAAACCCATGAAGATCCAGGTGAGAATTGGTCTTCAGTAACCCATGCTTGTCGTAAGAGGCGACTAATGGGATCAGTTTGTCAGGCTCACTGACTTGGTTGACACATGTCATCGTATCCCAATCACGTAGATTGATGCTCATGCTGTTGATCACTGGATTGTCTGGTCCAGACTCGATTATTTACAGACCAGCTCCATTTAGCTGGAATATTGCTGATTGCAGCGTTAAACAACAAACCAACAACAACTACAGTGTGTATGTTATGTTCATACAAATTGCAAAATTGAATCCACACCAATAGTAATCATATTCATTAAGATTATTTTCAGCTTGGTATGTTTGATGGTAGATATGTGAGGTGTCTCTGTTCACTATATTTCAGATCAGTATGAGGCAGAGAAGAAGTACCCCATCACTGACGCTGTGTCTGCAGCGTTACCTGAAACAACAGAGGAAACAACAGACCATGCAAGCAGCCCAGAGGAAACACTCACACAAGACTATGTGTCTGAGGAAACACCTGGCTGAAACAAGGATGACTGATCAGGATGTGACAGGTAGGAACTGTCCAGTTGTCCAGTTGTATAGGGATTCCAGGGTAGAATATTGCTGGTTGTAAAATATTCAATTCTTTACTTAAAGTAACTGAGAATAATGAACAAAGTCTAGTCATATTATAGCAGTCAAGTTAAGTATATTTGATATTTCGCTTTTGACATATCTGATGATAATAATACATTTCACGTGGACTTTTGAGAGACATCAGTATTAAGTCAAGATCACTGGAGTTATTGTAGGAAACCTTGCTAAACTATTCTGAGGTTCATATTTAATTCATAAACAGCAAGGCATTTTCCAGTCACTGAATGTGCAGACTGACATGTGATAACCATATCTGCACCTGTCATAATGTCATGGTTATGTCAAATGTCAAGGTTACTTTGAAGGTTATTGACATCTCTCCTTAAATTGTTTCATTCAGAAATTATTGTCAGGACTTTTTATAATAAGACATCATAAGTCTGCAATCATTATATTCACTGACTTCATTTCCAATAGTTAAAGGTTCAAGGTCACACAGTATGTTTACATTCTTAGTATGTGCATTTCATTCTAGTGATGTCATTAAACAAGAAACATTTTAAGGAACCTTTTTAAGGTAATGAGGAATGTTTGGCTAGATTTACTGCTTAAAACAACATAAAGGGAACAATATACCGAGCTTGCGAGGTCGATATTGTTTTTCTCAGGTCAGTAAAACCGATATCGACCTCTAGAAGAGTCTATAATTGTTTTATTATATAATGAAAGAGAAGCGGGTTTTAACATAAACTTTTAATGCACACATTGTGCCATCTTTCAGCGATTTGATTGGCTGAAAAGCGGGGAAGCCCCTTCATGCACGAGGATTCTTTGTCTATTTTAGTAACCCAAGTCGATATAAGTAATTTATCAGAAAACTCAAGTCAATATCCTGTTTTGTAGTCAATCATGTGACAGTCTTTTGACCAATCGTGGTACAGGAAAAATACTACCTATATAATAAAGATGAATATAGACAGATAAGGTTGTAAGGCAAGTCTAAACCATTTCGTGCTTTATTTATACCATTGTATATTCAGATATCACTCCATCTCACAAGATTGAAGTAAGAGGACTACCTGCCACAATCACCACTGACAGCATTAGTCTATACTTGAGAACCGCCATGAGATCTGGTGGAGGTCCTGTTGTCAATGTGATTTACAGAGAAGATGGAACAGCTATGGTGGACTTTGAAGAAGCAGAGGGTAGAGTATAGATACCAACAGTCTTGTACCTGATGTTATCAGGGTAGAACATGATAGAGTATAAAACCTAAGTTTCCATGCCGATTGTTACAGATATAATTAATCTTGACTTTCTGTATCCTGTAAGTGAACCAAATGTTAACCTACAAAAACACACATCAGCTAGTTTGTTTGATTCAGACATCACAGATTAGCTATCTGTTTCAGAGTGTAGAATAGTAACTGGTCAAATATTTATTTTATAAGTTTATATATACACAGATTTGATACAAATCTTTCGGAAATCTTTTCCACTATCTTAGATGCTGCAATTACTGACACCTAGAGACCAAAACTGTTTTGATGATTATTAACTGTTATATATTGATGTGTTGATGGCAGATGTTGAAGGAGTGTTGAAGAAGGCGACTCACACAATATCAGGCGCAGTAATTCAAGTGAGAAGATACACGCCAGAGAGGCGTCAGTCAGAGGTCTCAACACCATGTGATGATGCTCCTGCTGTTCTGCCAGACACAATCATAGTAACAGGATGTGGAGATATCTCTGATGATGTCCTGGACATGTACTTTGAGAGCAAGAAGAAGAGTGGAGGAGGAGAGGTGAAATCCATTGAGAGAACAGAGGAGGGTGGATCGGAGGTCCTTGTCACATTTGAAGACCCCAAAGGTTGGTATTGTCAATTCATTTTCCGCTCACACTGAAATCACCAACATGAATGTATCTCTTTGGTGTAGTTCACCTAAGTCATTAATGTTCTTCTTCTGTAATCGTCTACCTGGACCTCCATTAGCACTGAAAAAATGAAATCTGTAGTTTCTTGTATGATGAGTATTGCCTCTAATTTCTATTAAGTAATGTATGGATTGGATGTAGCACCGACACATATGTAGACACTGAAGGAGTTGACATGACACCATGTCCTGAGTTAGTGACTTTTAGATCATGAAATGTGTTTGTTTGTTGCTTAATGCCACACTCAGCAATATTCCAGCTATATGGCATCTGTCTGTAAATCATCGAGTCTGGACCTGACAATCCAGTGATCAACATCATGAGCATCGATCAATGCTTTAGGGAAACAATGTCGTGTCAACCAAGTCAGCGAGCCAGACCAACTGATCCCATCACTTGCTTCTTAAGACAAGCATGGGTCACTGAAGACCGATTCTCACCTGGATCTTCACGGGTTCATGAAATATGTACTAGCCATTGTTGGTATTACTTACCTAGATGGCTGTAAGATTAAACATTGGCATAATCACACTCTTCTCTGAGAAACAACCAACTGCTTCTACTTTTTATGCCAAACATTTACAATTAATGGAAATTATTTACTGTCTCTCTTCTCTTCATTTCAAGATGTCAATCGAGTGTTAAAGAAGGGATCTCATAAAGTACAAAGCATGGATGTTAAAGTCGCCCTGTACAAGCCCCGGCCACCAACACCTCCACCTGTAGTGTCAACAGACACTATTGTAGTGACAGGGTGTGGGGATATCGGTGATGATGTGCTGGAGATGTACTTTGAGAGCAAGAAGAAGAGTGGAGGAGGGGATGTGAAATCCATTGGGAGAAGAAATGAAAGTGGATCAGAAGTGGTTCTTGTCACATTTGAAGACCCTGAAGGTAATTTTACACCATACAATAATTCTTTGGTCTGAGGGCCAAGATGTTTATTGGCTTATCAACACATGTGTTTACTTTAAAATAAGAAAAAAAACCTGAAAATAAATCCATGGACCGACACTATCCCTAATAACAAATTCAGATGAATGTAAGTTGAAGAACAGTCACATCCATGCATAATATAATGAAGGCCTTGAATAGTTTGAATATTGAACAAAAGCTCCTCCAGCAGTTTTCAGCTCCCAATAGTTTGATTGGCCTGCTACAGATGTTGATGTTTACATCATAATCCATTATGATCATTGGTATTCATACACAGGAAAGTATCTTTTCAGAAAAGAGTCACTACGATGTACACATTCTGTCTTAGGTTGTTATTTTGAATGCACATGATAGCATATAAAAATAGTTCTCATGAATCCTGTTGACTTTTAATCAAAATGAAAAATGACCCTCAAGTATCTGTGCTCATGCATATTGGTGTAGCATGTATTTTGAATGGGATTTGTTTTAAGTTGAACATGGTGTTGAATGGGATTTCAATTATTTTTGCATGTGAGGTTTGATCTTGACCTGATGGCCTCTTTTATGCCCTGTAGTCCTAACATTGCGGACATACCGTAAACATACGTGCAACACATTGCAAATCAAGGCCAGTTATCATGCCAGTCTGGATTCTAGAGTGAGGCTACGTCAGCCGCTCCATTGGTTCACTTACATTCAGCACAAATAAATCTAAAGTTTCAGAAGAAGCACTCAGGTTCTTATTCACACTCAATAAATGTGTGTCTGCTTTGTTTGAAGACCTCAAGCGAGTGTTAAAGAAGGGATCTCATAAAGTACAAAGCACGGACATTAAAGTCGCCCTGTACAAGCCCCGGCCACCAACACCTCCACCTGTAGTGTCAACAGACACAATCATAGTGACAGGGTGTGGAGAGATCTCTGATGATGTCCTGGACATGTACTTTGAGAACAAGAAGAAGAGTGGAGGAGGGGATGTGAAATCCATTGAGAGAACAGAGGAGGGTGGATCGGAGGTCCTTGTCACATTTGAAGACCCTGAAGGTTGGTATTACAGATTCATTTTCCGCTCACCTTGAAATCACCTACATGAATGTAGAATATCCTGGTTTGGGCAACAGGAAAAGATTATTATGGGATAAGTAGAATTTTTTTGACAGAATATGCAGCTTGAAAAGAAATCATTAAAAAATGTACAACAAAAAAGTTTTAAGATCAAAACCAATCAAATAGTTTATTTTTATGTGAACTTGACGCTTCCGCACTCCTTATGTTTTATGTCACTAAATAAAGGTGAGCTTCTGTACCGGTGGTGTATGATGTTTCAGACATGCAAGCTGTCCTTCAAAGGAGTCACCAGATACAAGGACTCCCACTCCAGGTTTCACCGTACACTCTCCCCTCGTGGTCATCCCGTCGTCGCACACAGGCTGAAGACTCATACCTTAGTGCAGGTTTGTCACTGACCAGTGTTTCAGTAGGTATACTGCAATCAACATTCAAGGATTCATAGATTGATACTGAAGCCATGATTCTATTTTGGTGAAGTTATACTGTGCAATAATTTCAGGTGTCCATATGTTTTGAAGCAAATAAGTTTCTGTTTGCATGGTACATTGATATATTTCTTGTCAGGTTGTATGGTCTGTGTATACATCATCATATCACTGAACAGCAAAATATAGTGAAGTTATTATTTAGGTAACAAGTTCTATGGATATACAACTTCTTACAATATTTGAGATGTTTTGGTTTAGAAGTTGACGCTGTTATTAAGCAATCATCTACACAGAAACATTGACTATGTTATTGTAGCAGGGTGTGATGACATCCTTACCTTGTCAGCTTGCTGATGGGGTTAACCTCTTTGGTCATGTGGACAAGGTGTCCGACTTCGGATTAGAAGGTCCGTGGTTCGAATCCCAGAATGAGACTCAGAATTTTTATGGCCGCTACATTGGCGCCCAACGTGGGGTTGAGCACGTTCATATCAAATTTGAGCAAAACAAGTCTCAGTACCCAACTATGCGGCTCGGGACATGCCTTCTGTTGACGGGGGAGTATGTAGCAAGGCGTGGAGTCATCCCACAGATGACATCCTTACCTCGTCAGCTTGCTGACGGGGATAACCTCTTTGGTCATGTGGGCAAGGTGTCCGACTTCGGATTAGAAGGTCCGTGGTTCGAATCCCAGAACGGGACTCGGAAATTTTATGGCCGCTACATTATAATAAAGAAGTTGTATATCCATAGAACTGTTTGACTGGCATTCCAGTGAGTAAATGAGAAACTTGCAACATTGTGGACACCAACTCCTTGTTTATTGAATTCAGCAACATTTTTTTATAAATGAATGTATGTGATGGGATGTTTCCATAAAATATTGTCCATTGACAGCAAGACACTCCATCATGACCATATTTTCTGTGGTATTCAATGTTTTTTCCAAGCATGTTTCCTGCCAACAACAAGATTCAAGTATGAACTTTGCCGAAGTGTTGACCTGTTTGAATCAGTGATAATGTCTCTTTCTGTTTTAGAAGATGAGGGTCAGGATGATAGTGATGATGATGAAGATGTGTTTGTTCTGCTGGTGGAAGGGTTGTCCGATACTCTGGGTGAAGAAACTTTGTTGTTCTATTTTGAAAATCGACGTAGAAGCGGAGGAGGAGAGGTGGATGTGGTGGAGATTGACAGAGACTCAGCCACAGCTCTTGTCCACTTCAAGGAAGGCGATGGCAAGTGTAACAAATAAGAATTAATTGTACCCCAGACCTAAGAAGGTTGGTGTTATATAGTTGTCCCAAGGAATTTGTCCATCTATCCATGCGTTGAAAGTCATAGCTCAATCAATAACTTGAGAAGCAATGGGTGGATTGTTTTCAAATTTGGGGACCATCTTCTTTGTCTAGAGGAGAGATGCAAAAATCAGATTTGATAAGTTTACATATTTTGAACTTTAGAAAGCTCATGTTAATTTTTGTTCATGCAATAACTTGAATACATTTTCATGGATCATTTCAAATTAAAGTTCACCTATTAGGAGAAGTGCTGCAAAAGGTTTATTATGCTGTTTTTAATTTGTCAAGAATTAGCACAATTTACATCATCTTGAACTGAGGAAAGATTCCCATGGAAAATTTCTTCAACTAATAACTATATATTCATTTAATGGATTGTTTTGAGGTTTGGGTAGTGGTTTCTTTGGTAATAGTTAACAGCGCAAAGTTTCATTCAGATATTTTTCCTTATCCTGACTCATGCTCTTTTGCTTGTCTTCTTCTTCTTGCGAACATAGTGGAAACACTTGTATCTCCTAATTGAAGCTCCCTTCAATGTATAATCACTAATTAATACTCACCATGACTTGCCTCCCTTTGTCCCAGCGCGGGAAAGGTGGCGCCACCCTCTGGCCACATGCTTCACTCTCTCCTTCTTCGCCCAGTGAGCAGGATGTGAGAGCACCTGTGTCTCCTTGCACACTATATCCTTTGATTATTCTTAGTTTATTACCTCTTATTCTTTACTAAAGAGGTGTAGCTAGTATCCTTTAACAATATGTATTGATTATTACTCGTAATTCTACTGTTTATTCACGGTTTTCCGTGATTGTTCAGCCTAGTTTAGGTGGATGAAAATCTGTACTGTTTGTAGATTACGTTTTTCTGCTGCTGATCCGCATTTAATATGTCCTAGCTGTACTACGCCTTGTGCGTTTACTTCACGTTGCAGTTACTGTATTAATTTATCCATTTCTGCATTTAACAAATATCGTTTTTGCGTCTTGAGACGTGCAGCAGATAGGTCACGTAAACAAGCCTGAGGCATGGCGATACATCGGACCCTCTAGCCAGTCAACTGCTGTCGGATCTACCCTCCCGTCTGGTGTTCGCTAGAGATTCCTTCGAGGAGGGTGGGATGCAGTCCGCCGCCTCCAAGAAGCGTCCTGCTTCCCCAGACATCCCGTCTTCGCAGCAGAAGTCTAAGAGGGCATCGACTTCGTCACAGCGTAAACTCCGTACCCCCAGGGCAGCGTCGACCTCCAAGGGAAAAGCTAAGAAGCCAGCTAGAACGTTCTCAGCCGAGATTCTTCCCGCCCGCTGAACTGGGCCTGTATGACGACCAGCCGATCATCATACCCGATCTACATACAAGAAGCGACGGTGTCAGCTACAGTAACGTCAGCAGAGATCGCCAGGCAGCCTGATGTCTCTACACTGATGTCCGACGATCATTCTGAGGGGCCCGTGGCTAACATCGCAGAGAGGGCATCGACGACATCGTCGCAGACCATCCCAGACGACATGATGCAGAAGATCATGCAGATGATGGAGGACCGTTACAGACTGCAACCAGCCCAGAAGGACCTCCACGAAGGCACCAACGCAGACGACTGCCCAGAGGGACACTCCGTCAACGTAGCGGCCACGACCAAGCCACCTTCACGAAGGAAGTCACAGTCTACCTCCAGGAAGGACCCAGATGAACAGCCTGCACGAAGGGTTAGAAGATCGTCACCTTCCCCGGACTCAGAGGATCATCACTCTTATAAAGATTCCAGAAGGAAGACTACGTCGTCCTTGGACTCAGACTCGGACCCCCCGACTTAACGAAAGCCTTCGCGAAGGTCAAGCCGTCAGAAAGCCTTCGCGAAGGTCAAGCCGTCACTCCTCAGAACGGGACACGGTTAAGGCTTCACGAAGGACGCCAGTAGCAGGTTCTAAATCATCTTCGTCCAGACGATCATCTGCAGATTCCTCAAGGGCTTCGCGAAAGCTATCAGCGTTCGCCTCACAGATCTCCGCGAAAGTCTAGACGCAGCTCAGCAGGCCGATCACCAAGATCATATCGTTCGCCTCGCCGTTCACCTCGCCGATCACCTCGCCGATCACCACATCGATCTCCACACAGATCTTCACAGAGGTCCCAGGTCAGGTCTCCATTATCGTCTCCATGTACAGCGATAGAACCATATATACCGCCACAAGAGCATCAACCTCTTATGGACGATCCCGTTACAGAAGACGATGGAGGCATCATCTTCTCAGACGCTGAGATACGATACTGGATGGTAAACAACCTAGACCTTTCTTCACCTTCCAAGAGTAACAACTCGGCGCAGACTTATCTGATGAAGGAGGACGATGCTGATGCCATCACCTTACCACCGATCGACCCGATTGCTGCAGTACCGAAGAATTTGGACTCAGCCTTCCACAAAGCCACTAAAGTCCAAACAGCACATTTACCACTGTTCCATGCTAACAAGTTTTCAACCTACAACATGGAGCCGTTCCTCAAGGCACAAGACATAGATGACAACTATAAGTTGATCAATGATGTCAAGAACAAGAACTACAAGATTGACGATCGCAAGTTGGTTCAGTTAGAAACCATGACTAGGTGAATGTTCTTTGGCCTTAATAGATCTAGAACGATCAATGAGACTCTTATCACCAGATTTCGTGACACGACATCTGAAGATGATGAATGATTTACTCGGCCCTACTTATGCAGAAGAAGGACCAGCAGTTCCTTACGGATCATCTCACAGCAGTCTCAGCAGCCTTAACCTTAGCCCATCGTCAAGGCCTCCTCGCTTCCTGCAACTGGGGTGAGCAGTTTACAGCTCCACTCTATACAGCCCCCGTGGTCTGCTTCATCCATCTTCGATGGAGGAATAGAGAAAGTCTCCAAGGAAGTCACTAAGGATTCTAGAGAAGTCCTTATGATTAAGTCAATGGATACGCTAGCCAGCGTCATCAGACAGACTTCACAAAGATATTCAGGGAAATCTAAATTCACTGGATTACAGAGAGCACGGGATAAAAAGATAGCCAGTTCCAGGGGAAGAGATTCTTTTCGTCGCCCATTTGGCAACTACAGAGGAGGATCAGGAAGAGGCAGGGCACCTAGAGGTTCCCGCAACTATAAACGATGAAAGCCAGGTTCGGAAAGACTGGAGTCTTCCACCCCCAGCCGTTCCAGTACAACCGTCACAAGTGGGTGGACGCCTTCAACTATACTGGGAGAACTGGGGAATGTTACAAGACCCTTATGTCTCCAACATTCTTCATCACGGATATCGTATCCAACTAAAGGCCCTGCCTCCGCTGACAGTCAACCCTTACAAGTTCGACTTCCAGACACAACAACTACCAAAGTTAAGGAGAGGCCATTACTTCCCTCCTGAACAAGCAGGCCATAGAAGTACTAGATCAAGTAAACATCGAACCAGGTTTCTACTCCCCAGTTTTCCTAGTACCCAAGAAAAACTCCAAGGAGAAATACAGACTCATCTACAACATGAGCACGTTCAACAGAGATTATCTACGCAAACCACCGAAGTTTCGCATGATACATCTACCCCAGTTACGGCACTTAATCCGTCCCATGGATTACATGGCCAGTATAGACCTACAAGATGCGTATCTACACATCCCGATACATCCCGAATCCAAGAAATACCTACGGTTTACACTGGACGGGCTGCATTACCAATGGAAAGTACTCCCATTCGGAATATCATCAGCCCCATGGTTATTTACAAGAGTAACGAAACCCATCGTCACCTACCTACATCGTCCAAGGGCTACGAGTGCGTTTTACCTCGACGACGGGATACAAGTAGATCAAGATCCACAGCGTCTCAAACTACAGTTAAACTACATCATCAAGCTACTAACACAGCTGGGATGGTTAGTAAATCTACTCAAGTCGGACCTAGTACCTTCGCAAGATCTGCAGTTTCTAGGCATTCGATTTATCACGACGCTCAACCGTATCGTCGTTCCAGAAGACCGCTGGCTCAAGATCCAACAGACCATTCCACCAGCGCTACTCTCTCCGTTACCACTACGACAATGGCAGAGTCTATTGGGTCTCCTCACGTCAGCCCAAGACTTGACACTAAGAGGCAGGCTACAGATACGCCCATTACAGGTCTTCATCAACGCTCATCTCGACAATCTACAACCATTCAGTCTACCGGTACACCTCAGACCTCATCTACTATGGTGGACCAGGAGGTCGAATGTCTGCAAAGGCATCTATTTAACAGAGCCGGAATTCCAAACCCATCTCTATGTAGACGCGTCGCTCCAAGGTTGGGGAGCTCATCTCGCCAACCGGACGACATCAGGCATATGGAATCAGCAAGAAAGCAAGCTCCATATAAACATGTTATAGACGAAAGCGGTAATCAACGCCATACGTCATTGGAGTACCATTCTACGACAGGCACATCTGATGATTCATACGGACAACTCAACAGTGGCATATTATGTGAACAAACAAGGCTTAACGAGATCATCAAGCCTATTGACTGTATGCTTTCAACTGTTCGATCTAATCAACGATCTCAACCTACATGTCAGAGCATGTCACATTCCCGGAGCCAAGAATGTACTAGCAGACGCACTCTCTCGGCCACACCTACTGGCACCGACAGAATGGATGCTCCGTACAGAAATCTTCGCACAGATTATCAAACAATTAGGAGCACCGCTAGTAGACCTATTCGCCACTCGATTCAACAATCAGCTAACGACATTCGTATCACCTGTCCCGGATCCACAAGCATGGGCATCGGACTCTAAGCATATCCTGGGAAGGCTCCTCAGCGATGCGCAGCGTTTCGCCCGCCAGTGCTAATCCCTCAAGTGTTACAGAAAATCAGACAAACACAGAGGCTACAACTAACTTTGGTCGCGCCCTACTGGCCAGCCAGAACGTTTCCCATTCTAATTCTAGAAATCGGACAACCAACACTAAAGCTACCAAAGCGCTCGAATCTACTAGTACATCCTCACACCAAGCAAACGCGAAACCCAGAAGTGTACCAACTTCGCGTATGGACTGTATTAAAGTGTGTTTGAACAAGAGAGGATATTCTACAAGAGCGGCAAAAGCAGTCACGCTTGCTTTACGCTATTCTACTCGTGGCAATGCGACGACAAGTGGCAAAGTTTGAAAACTTCGCGAGCAAAAATTGGATTTACAGCGAGAGATGCTACACATCCACAAGTGGCTGATTATCTGTGTTACCTACGTCAAAATAAACATTTGAAGGGCTCGACATTGTCAACATATCTTGCAGCTTAGCTCGATTCGTTACCATGAGAACGGGTGTCAAGTTAACGAAGACGCCAGAGTTACTCGCCTTGCTACGCTCTTTTCGTTTGGAAGATCAGAAAGTGAAATTCCGCGAGCCTGAGCTTGGGATCTAAATATAGTGCTTCAGCACCTCAGAATTGAAAGTTATGAACTGTTAGATTCAACGAACTTTGAACTTCTCACACAGAAAACAGTTTTCCTGTTATCGCTAGCTACGGCAGCCAGGATGTCTGAAATTCACGCACTAGATTACGAGAGGATTCAGTTTGATGACAATCACAACTCAGTGCACATGGGTTTGCGATGGGACTTTATCGCTAAGAATCAATTGCCAGGTCAACCAGACAGATTATTCCATATCCCTGCACTATCCTCGATTCTCGGATCTCAAGATACGTTGGACTTATCTCTATGCCCAGTCAGAGCTCTCAAAATCTATATACGACGTTCCAAACCAAGACGCCGACATCTCAAGCGATTATTCATCCCTTTAGCGGCGACAAGTCAGACCGAGGTCTCTCGTACCACCATATCTATATGGATTAGAACTGTCATACTGCGCGCCTACAAGGCGGCTGGACTGGACCCTCCAAGAGCAGCAAATCCTCACGAAATCAGAGCCTTAGCTTCCACACTGGCGCTACACGGTAACTGCTCACTAAATACCATCATGGAGGGATGTTTTTGGAAATCCGACATGATGTTTGCTAATCACTGTCTGAGAGATATCACCACCGAGGACGTCTCAGGTATTCACCATTTCGGTCCTATGGTCCTCGCACAGCAGTTGACAGTCCCTCGTAGACGATAAGATAGTCTTACGAGATTATTATGTATATTTATACATGTTTTATCTAGCTTAAAACTCTACGGATATACCTAGCTTAAGTCTAACCTTAAGCCCAGTACTGATAATTATGTACATTTTGGATAACTTCTCCATGTTGGAGTAGTATATATACTTATTGCTATGTTCATAGTATGTTTTTTGTATAGTAATACCCCTTTTTATCTATGATTACAATCAGTGCCATTATAAGTTCCCGTCAGGGGGTTATTGCAGATATATATATATAAATCACTAATTAATCTGGTAAATCCAAAGTCTCTATTCTTTCCGACCTCCGATTCCGTCGGATACTACAAGCAAAAGAGCATGAGTCAGGATAAGGAAAAATATGTAATTTTTAGAGTAAAATTGATATTTTATACTTATCCTGACTCATGAGGTAAGCCCTCCCATCCTCCCCACATAACACTTTGGATTTCCCCGTAAATTCAAGTGTTGGGCTCGAAAAATAAGGAGAGAGTGAAGCATGTGGCCAGAGGGTGGCGCCACCTTTCCCGAGCTGGGACAAAGGGAGGCAAGTCATGGTGAGTATTAATTAGTGATTATACATTGAAGGGAGCTTCAATTAGGAGATACAAGTGTTTCCACTATGTTCGCAAGAAGAAGAAGACAAGCAAGTGCATGAGTCAGGATAAGTATAAAATATCAATTTTACTCTAAAAATTACATTTTTATTTTTGGCAAGGATATTTATATTAATTAATTTTGAACTCTGAAAAATTCTTATGTCAAATTTGTACAGCAAATATCTTGATAACTAATGGATGGATTGCTTTCAAATTTCTGTGTAAATGGGACAGGTGTCCCTCATCACATCATCTTGTCACAAATTGTTTTCAAGTTTGGTGAACACTGTCTATGATTGGATGAAAATTGCAATGCACCAACATTTTGCATGACCCCAACTATTTAACATTGCAATAGGCCGAAACACCACAAGTTGGTCAAATGTGCCCGGTTTGGTTTGGATAGGAACAGCACTGAGATGTTTTCGTAACATGTTTCCAAAGTGTCATAATATGTTTAGTTCTGTTGTTTAGCTGAAGCTGGGTGTCGTTGTCAGGGATATTTGTGAGGCCTGGTCATATTTTGTGCTTGTATGTTTAACTATTACCACCCGTGAAGGTCCGTGAAGAATTAATCTTCAGTAACCAATGCTTGTCGTAAGAGGCGACTAATGGGATCGGGTGGTCAGGCTCACTGACTTGGTTGACACATGTTATCGGTTCCCAATTGCACAGATTGATGCTGATGCTGTTCATCCCTGGATTGTCTGGTCCAGACTCGATTATTTACAGATCGCCACCATATAGCTGGAATATTGCTGTGTGCGGCGTAAATCTAAACTCACTCACTCACTCACTCACTTTAAAGAATAACGTCATGACACAGGAGTAGGGAGACAAGCTTAAATGCCACTTGATCAGCTGTTTTATTCATTCACCCACTGCAAGCTAAATAACTACATGGGATCGTGCTCACCCGGAGCTAACAACATTAAACAACGGGACATCTGTTGGCCTATTAATATAATGTTTGCATTACAGAATGTGCAGTCAAAGACTTTCAATTGCACTTAGTCACCCCAGTCAGAAAAATCATTCAGCCTCAACAAATGTAATTAAGTTTTATTAGTGCTGGAGCAATTGATCGAATTATCAGTCAATAGATCGATCTTGCATCAGCAATATTCATAAAAATTAAACTTTAGAAAGTATGTTTCTTCTTGTTCGATTTGTTAATCAAGACATAAACAACTGATGCAGTTTCCTGACTGACTCCTGGGCCCTTATTCTCGAAACGTTCGTAGCCCTAAGAATTCTTAACTTTGATCGTAGCCAATGTGTTAAGAATGGGCTTAAGAAGTTCGTAAGGCTACGAACGTTTCAAAAATAGCTAGCCTGGCTCATAAAACTGCAATGTACTGCAATTATCCTTGATTGTGGTAATAATCAGTGCCTGTTTCATTTGCACAATTGTATGATTGTATCCTGTTATTACCATCATATGTTTTGTGGAGGGGTTTACGATTGCAATCATATTATCAATCTGCATATTGTGAGCGGTAACCATCACTAGCAGGTGGATATAAACCATACCTAGGTGATGATTTTGTTTATGCTATTTCTTTTCAGTTGTAAAGAGAGTTCTACAGAAAGCTCCTCATCTCCTGGAAAATAAAAAGATTGAAGTCTCTGAATATCTACCTTCCAAACAGCCAGGACTGGTTACCATAGAAACAATCCTGAAGGGAAAGAAAATAGGAACAGTTGTGAAGGTGGAGAAATTTGGATCGAAGACAAGTGATGATGTACTAACAATGTACTTCGAGAACAAGAAGAGAAGCGGGGCATCTGAAGTGAAGGAAATCATTCCAGATAAAGAAGAAAATGCCAAATATATTGTTTTTGAGTCCCCTGAAGGTACTGTTGTTTTACCCTATCAAGAATATTGATTGTCCAAACGATCACAGCCCACTTGTCAGATATATTTATTCAATCCTAGGAAATACATGATTTTCTTTTCACTGATTCATTAAAAATTCTCATAATTTGTCTTAGGAAATGGGTTATGATCAAGACTAATCCATTTAACCACCTGCATAACCTGGAGAGTAAGAGAACAGTGACATAGTTGGTATTCAGGCATGAGACAACTGGGGAGGTATCTGATAAATAGGGTGGTATCTGACAAATGGGGAGGTGTCTGACAAAGGGGAGGTATCTGACAAGTGGGGAGGTATCTGACAAAAAGGAGGTGTCTGACAAATGGGGAGATATCTGTCAAATGAGGTATTTGACAAATTGGGAAATGTCTGACAAATGGGGAGGTATCTGACAAATGGAGTATCTCACAATTAGGGAGGTATCTGACAATAAGGGAGATATCTGACAAATGGGGAGGTATCTGACAAATAGGGAGGTATCTGACAAATGGGGAGATATCTGACAAATGGGGAGGTATCTGACAAATGGGGACATATCTGACAAATGAGGTATCTCACAAATTGGGAAAAGTCTGACAAATAGGGAGGTATCTGACAAATGGGGAGATATCTGGCAAATGAGGTATTTGACAAATTATGAAATGTCCGACAAATAGGGTATCTGACAATTGGGAAGGTATCTGGCAAATGGAGTATCTGACAATTAGAGAGGTTTCTGACTAATAGGGAGGTATCTGACAAATAGGGAGGTATCTGACAAATGGGGTATCTGGCAAATGGGGCGGTATCTCACAAATAGCAAGGTACCTGATAAATAGGGAAGTATCTGACAAATGGTGTGGCCCTTTTGACCTTTTGATGCAGCCCTTTGTCTTTCTTGCGGCCCTTTTGACTTTTCTGTTTTGAGGCACTTTTGTCATGCAGCCCTTTTGACTAGGACCCTCTGACTAATAGGGGTTATTCACTGGGTTTGTCATGTATGTCCAATTCTGATTTGTTTGACAGAAGCGGAAGCTGTTGCCAAGCGAAGCCACACTGTAGATGGGCACAAGTTGATGGTGAGTTTGTACAGACCTCCCACCCCTCCTCCACCCCGGCCGCGCTATCGGGACAAGTTTTTGATAACTGGACTGCGAGAGAAAACCACAAAAAAGACCTTGATGAAGTTCCTGCAACAAAAATTGGCCTGTCATCCCAAGGATGTTATGTATGGAGAGGAACCTGGAACTGTTCTTGTAAATATAGATCAACAAAAAGGTCCTTTAAGTAAGTATGTGTTAAGCTTTATTTCATGTAAGAAACATTGCTTTTGAGAACTACAGCACAAAAAATAAGCCAGGGTTAAATATTTAGATATATGATAAAAAATCAGATGTCTCCATGTTCTGATTCTCTAGAAAATGCCATGTTCACATAAATCTGCCATGGCTATTGAATGCTCAGTATGAACACTTGTAAACATGATTAAGTTGCAGGGTTCGAAATACCCCATATATTAGTGTGCCATGGCACGGTAAATACTGATATGGCACAGTAAAATGTTCTTGGTGCCCTTATGGCATGCCTAATTTCTTGGAAACATAACACACCTTTAATCATTTAATCCCCCAAACAATCAAAAACATATCCAAATTGAATAATGCCATACATATCTAAATGCTCATAAACCCATTTCTTTATTTAACAATAAATTCAAAATGATCATCATCATTGTCATTTATTCTGAGAACAAGTGGTCACACTTGATATCTGAAAGGCATGCTTAAAATATTTCTCTGGTGCCCGAAGGCATATGTGCAACAAAAAATATTTCTATCCCTGAGTTGGATTATCTACTGTTAAGAGACAGGTGGATATCTATAATATTAATTTAAGTAAAATAGAATATGCTAATATAGACCTATATATATATATATATATATATATATATGTATATATATATGTATATATATATATATATACTCCCTGAAGAGTAAAGAACGAAACATGTTGGAGAAAAAGGCATTCTGTTTTTATTTTTCTGTGTGATATATATATATATATCATACCTATTCAGAAACTGATTGTGAGAGAAAGTAGTCCTATGTGCTTGTCTTTTTGTATTTCACCTTGTAACAGAGCTGAAGAAGATGCAGCGTGTTTGTAAGAAGCATCCTCTGGATGGGGCGTTCCTTGAGTTGTCAGCAGTGCCCATCTCCAACTGTATCCGAGTCAATGGAATCACTGCCAAGACATCGGCGGACACACTAACATTCTACTTTGAAAGCAAGAAGTCAGGGAATACCATAGAATGTGATGTTGAAAAGGTGGACATTGTTGAGGAACCGAGACATGCCATCGTCTTCTTTACAAATCATACAGGTAAGTATTTGTTATGATTGTTTGTTGTTTAATGCCACATTCAGCGTATTCCAGCTCGATGGCAGCGGTTTGTACATAAACGAGTCTGGTCCAGACAATCCAGTGATCACCAGCATGAGTATTGATCTACTCTATTGGGATATGATGACAATATACTCCAAAACGTCACGTCCCTCAAAATGTATGGATGTCAACTTCTTTATTTTGAGGGACTCAGCTTTTCAGACTCCTTCATAAAAATATACTCCAAAATGTCACATCCCTCAAAATGCAGAAGTTGACATCCATAAATTCTCGCCTTTCTAATGATGATGTTTAGAGTTTGATAGATGTTCCTGTCAGTATTTAGTCACTTCAAGTACCTACAGTGATAATGAAATAATGTCATTGTTATCCCCCGCCGCGCGTTTAGCGCGAAGCAGGGGATATAGTATTAGGCTCCGTCCGTCTGTCCGTCCGAATTGGAATATCTTCAGAACCGTTCACTAGATTCTTTTCATATTGGGTACCTAGGTTCATCACAGTATAAGTGTAACAGCGGTATCACGTCATGATTTGAGAACAGACGAATACTTGTGAGGGTTCAGGGATTTATTGTCTTGGATCAGGTGATAAAACCCTTGAAATAAAACATAAACATCTCAAATTACTGGTATACAGCAACATGTACATAGTAAACATATAATTACATTTAATATTTTCTGCACACCACAAGGGTTACTCAACTTAAGTATAAATATAAGCTTATCTTACAAATTACAGACAAACAGATGAAAATCTGATATGTAACATAACATTTAGAACATAACCCATGCATTTCCTTGACACACAAATACTAACCTCGTCTCAGGGACGCAGGTAATCCACAGTCTACCGGTAAACAACCGGTGGCAAATGAGTACTTCAAAGACCTAATATAATAAAATAACACAATTAAATACAATCTATATTACACACACACACACACACACACACACACACACACACATGCACACGCACACTCTTTCTCATGTCATCCATAATATGTACCTAATCTACAATGTATACACTATAGTCTACATTAGCCAAACGTGTAATAATTATAATACATAACAGTGTGTCATGATATTAAGCATATAGAATATTTACATCATATCATCATGTAGATGATATTACAGCACATAATATATTTCAGACATATTATTAAAATGATAAATTAACTAGACTAAAACATCATATCCTAACCTCCTTATGATAATATAAATACCAAGACATCTAAAGTAACTTACCCCAATAAGTTCAGTGCTGTGATAAAGGAGACAGAGTTGGAATTGTTGCAGTCAAGAGTTGAAATTGTAGCAGTGACCAGGAAAAAGAATGTTGGGGTACATAAAACTCCAGATCTGGTCACATGCTTTAGAAACAATAGCAAATCAATCACTGGCCAAGCCGTGGCTGGGCCAGGAGTCTGAAGTAAAATAGAACCCAATGCAGGCTTACATAACTTAACCAAAGGATTAGTAGAGTGCTGTGTTAATTCAAAGGGTTGTTATATTGCTTAACTAAATTATATACTTAGGCTTAAAATACACAATATTTACATTCTGCTACATTCTCCTCTGTCAACAGAAACGTCGTCCCCGACGTACATATGTCACATGGCTGGGTTTACAGATCCTGTTATCAAAGATAACATGGCTCTATATATGTCTTTGGGAAGATCCTGCAAGAGTCCATCTTCAGCCAGAGTCTTGAGAAATGATGCCCTGGATTTCCAATCACTTAGTGATAATGGCACCATACTCTTGCAGTAATCCCCACTCTTCATCCATGCAGGTTTGTGACGCTCTCTTAAGGATCTCCTAGGTGGCGGAGTTGGGAGAACTCTCCTAGGTGTCCTTCTTGGAAGTTCCGGTACCAGATCTTGCAGTGGTTCTTGTTCCATTTGGTCCTGCATCTCAGTCTCAGCTTGAGATACATTGCCTGCTGTGACCTCAGCCTCTCCTCCCCTTGTTGAATCCATGGCATCGGTAGAATTAAATTCTTCTGATTGTCCATTGGATCCATAGGGTCCTCTGTCTTCAGTATCAGGACTAACATTGGGCGGAATGTTGGTCTCTGAAGAACTATCAGCTTGGTCAACAGGCTGTGAAACTGTCAGCAACATTGGAAAATCATCCTCATCCTCATCAGAATCACTCACTGACTCAGATGGATCAGGCTTTTTCTGTTCTTTAGTCTCCTTTCCCATGCACATCCTCCTAGGTTTAGGAACAGGAACAGCTGGTGTGTCATCTGGTGTTGAACAAAGTGTACCAACTGGCAACAACAAATTCCTATGAAGTGTTCTTGATCTTCCTTCTCCATTTTCTTTCTGTACGCAGTAAACAGGAATATCTGGATTAGGTTGATCCACAACAATATAGGTGTCCTCTTCCCACTTGTCGGCCAGTTTATGCTTCCCATCAAAAGCAAGTTGTTTTACTAAGACGCGATCCCCCGAACTGAGAGTAGCCCCTCTGATCTTGATGTTGTATAGATCCTGTTGTTTTCCTCTCGCTTTCTCTGCTGCTTCTGTGGCCAACTTGTACAAGTCAGCAAGGCGCTGTTACAATGGCATCCCTGGTGGGATTCAAGTTTGTCTGTTGGAGAAGCCCCAAGCTCGACCCCTAAAGTTGACAGTGCTAGCAAGGACGTCCATTCAGCATGGCCGATCGGTGACTCCCAATGACAATATCTTTAAGGTGTGTCCTAGTTACTGAGGAAAGACGGAGCACAGTTGTTGATACTATGAGCTCATAATGGAATAAGCTGTTTATTCACTTGACTCTGAAGATTGTATCTGAAGATTGGAGGAAATGTTCTAATACAGTCCGTGTTAGTAAACAATAAGCTTTGTGATGTTGACATCAGTTGTACGGAATACATTTTTCTTGCTTGACTAGTCTGCGACTTGGTAAAGTATTTGCAGCTCTTCTGTATCTCCTGCTGCCATAATACTTAGCTAGCATATGCTGTCATCTCTCACGTGAGATTAATTAGTTTGCATTAGTTAGTTTAGATTAGTTAGTATAGATCAATTAGTTTAGATTAATTAGTTTAGATCACTTAGTTTAGATTAATTAGTTAACATACTCGTTAGTGTCAGTTTCCCTGATTAGTTCCCGATTGTCATAATTTGTATATTTTGTCACGTAAACTTATTCTTGTTTAGTTTACGGTGGTTTAATCCATCTTAGTAATCGAATTTGGTATTAAGCGTTAATCTGGCATAATCCATAAAAGTGTTTATTGCCGAGTAAGGTGATATCTTAACTTTGTTGATTTCTGGGTAAGTATGTACTTTCCTAACCTCCTTTATATCCAATAGTGGTTAGTATTACACAGGCTTGTTTGGTAAGGTACAGCACCACACATCTTGGTTCTCCTGTCCCATCTCTGTCCTTTGGTCTCTGTGTATTTGGGGTAGAACCATATATTTGTGGCATAAATTGTGGGTTAACAACTTTGTTCACATAATACCTTACTAATATATAAGCATTAATACCACCACCGTTAAAACATGTGGTACTTCATAATTTCCATGTAAATACATGTTGCCTCAATCATACAACATGTAGTTTACAGCTACTTCTCTTTACATTGTGTCATAAGACACATCTAAATTACCCAACGTGTAATCTCGTTCATTGTTTGCGCTCACATACAATTTACGTGAGGATTTGTCCCTGCATCCTGGTGCTGCAACAGTCTCATTACGATGTCTTATCATCCTTTTGATCTCATATTTTCTTTTACTGCATACTTTGATAGTTGATAATTGCACAATGTCTCAGTTATCCTCTTCAGAGCTTGAATCTTTTCTTGAAAGTTTCAAGAAGTTAGGTGTTATACCTAAAGGCAAGACTGAAGAGGAACTGAGAGAATGGATAACCGGCATAGTGGCTATTCAGGGAGCTACTGCAAACCCTTCTCCCTCACCCCCAACTCCACCCACCCAGAATTTGGCAGGTTCACTCAGCGTCAGGCAACCTCCTCGGGTGTCTGTTTTCTCTGGTGATCCTACTTCTAAGGGTGAGACACCTTTTGATGTTTGGCTGTATGAAGTTGACAGTTTATCAACTGATTTATCCTACTCTGAGGAGGAGATTAAGCAGTCACTCAGGAGAGCTCTTAAAGGAGATGCTGCACGCATTGTTATGAGGCTTGGTCATGCAGCCTCACTCACTTCCATTCTAAACAAACTTAAAAGTGTATATGGCTCTTCTGTCATCGAACAAGGCGAAGCTCTCATGGCACAATTCTACAGTGCAAGGCAAGGAGACAAAGAAGATGCTACTAAGTGGGGCTGTAGACTGGAAGACATGCTTGACAGGCTTGTTGCTCAGGGTCATATTCAGCCGAGCAGATCAAGCTCCGTGCTCAGGACTGTTTTCTGGTCTGGACTCAGGCAGGAACTCAAGGACTCTTCTGGTCACAAGTTTGATAGTATTGATAATTTCGACCAGCTTCGGGTTGCCGTGAGGCGTATTGAGCATCGACCATGAACAGAGGAAACTGGAGACCCATAAGAAACCCATCCCAGCCAAGGCAGTGACCCAGAGTGATTCAACGTCAGAGGTATCTATGTTGATTGGTATGGTCAACCAACTGTCTGCTAAGATTGACAACATGGAGAACAAGATGAGCCAGATGTCATCCCCTCACTCACAACAGCAGCAGAAGAAACAAGTTGTTTTTTCTGATGACACCACTCCCAAGCCGCGGAACCAGGAATATTTTCAAAGGACAAGACAACAGCCTCAAGACTTTGAGATGCAATCCGGTGTACAGTGTTACAGGTGTGGGCAGTATGGCCATATTTCTCGGGGTTGTAGGGTCAGGCTTGACCACTTGAGGCATGGTAATTTAAATGGGAGAGGGCCAATGTCAAGGGGCAGACATTAGGTTCTTTTAGACAGAGCCCCACAGAGTTTGTGTGTCCTACCATACCAGCTGGTTTAGTTGGGACTGCAAATGAA